GATCAGTTCTAGCAGGCAGCCGGTGGACTCTGTTGGGTTTTCTATGTAGAATATCATGTCGTATGCGAAAAGTGAAAGTTTGACTTCTTCTTTGCCGATATTGATGCCTTTGATTTCCCTTTGTTGTCTGATGGCTGATGCTAGGACTTCCAGCACTATGTTAAACAGCAGTGGTGAGAGTGGACATCCCTGTCGTGTTCCTGCTCTCAGGGGGAAAGCTCAGTGTTTCCCCGTTGAGGATGATGTTAGCTGAAGGCTTCTCATAGATGGCTTTGATGATGTTTAAGTAGGTTCCTTCTATCCTGACTTTCTCTAGAGTCTTTATTAAGAAGGCATGCTGTATTTTGTCAAATGCTTTTTCTGCATCTATTGACAGGATCATATGGTTTTTATCTTTTCTTTTGTTGATGTGATGGATCACATTGATTGATTTGAAAATATTGAACCAGCCCTGTAACCCAGGAATGAATCCCACTTGACCTTGGTGGATAATTCTTTTTATGTGCTGTTGAATTCGATTTGCAAGTATCTTGTTGAGGATTTTTGCATCCGTATTCATCAAGGATATTGGCCTGTAGTTCTTTTTGCTGGATCTCTGTCTGGCTTGGGAATCAGAGTGATGCTGGCTTCATAAAATCAGTCCGGAAGTTTTCCTTCGATTTCTAATTTTTGGAACAGCTTGAGAAGAATGGGTATTAATTCTGTTTTAAATGTCTGGTATTATTCCCCAGGGGAGCCATCAGGTCCAGGGCTCTTATTTGTTGGGAGATTTTTGATCACTGATTCGATTTCTTCACTAGTTATGGGGTGTTCAGACTTTCTATAACTTTCTGTGTGAATTTTGGTAGTGAGCGTGTGTTTAGGAATTTGTCCATTCCTTCTAAGTTGTCCAATTTGTTGACATATATTTTTTCATAGTATTCCCTGATAATTGCTTGTATTTCTGAGGGGTTGGTTGTAATAAGTCCATTTTCATTCATGATTTTGTCTATATGGGTGCTCTCTCTTTTCTTTTTGAGAAGCCTGGCTAGAGGTTTGTCAGTTTTGTTTATTTTTTCAATGAACCAACTCTTGGTTTCTACTCTGATTTTTACTATTTATCTTCTACTGGGTCTGGGGTGCTCTTGTTCCTCTCCTCTAGTTCCTTTAGGCAAGCTGTTAGATTTTGCACTTGCACTTTCTCTAATTTCTTAATATAGGCCGTGAGTGCAATGTACTTTCCTCATAGGACTGCTTTGCTGCATCCCATAGATTTGGGGTTGTCGTATTTTCATTTTCATTTGTTTCCATATATTTTTTAATTTCTTCTCTAATTGCCTGATTGGCCCATTCATTCTTTAGTAGGGTGTTCTTTAACTCCATGTTTTTGGAGGTTTTCTAGACTTCTTCCTGTGATTGATTTCCTGTTTCAAAGCATTATGATCTCAAAGTGTGCATGGTATGATCTCAATTCTTTTATATTTATTGAGGGCTGCTTTATGTCCCAGTATGTGATCTATCTTGGAGAATGTGCCATGCGCATTTGAGAAGAAAGTGAATTCCCTGGCCTGAGCTCTGAATATAACTGTCAGATCCATTTGGTCCAATGTGTGAATCAAGTCTCCTGTTTTTTTAGTGATTTTCTCTGTGGTTGATCTATCCATTGCTGGAAGTGGAGTATTAAAGTCGCCTACTATTACCACATCCTTACAAGATTGTTTCTGTTTGTGATTGTTTTAAATATTTAGATGCTCCCATATTCAGTGCATAGACATTTTTAATTGTTAGTTCTTCCTGATGGACAGTCCCTGTAATTATTATATAAGGCCCTTCTTCATTCCTTTATATTGTCTTTAATTTAAAGTTCAGTTTGTCTGACATAAGTATACCTATTCCAGCTTTCTTTTGTCTTCCCGTAGCATGATAGATATTTCTCCATTCCCTTACTTTTAATCTGAAGGTATGTTCCAATCTAAAATGAGTTTCTTGTTGACAGCAAATAGATGGATTTTGTTTTTTTATCCATTCTGCTACCCTATGTCTTTTGATTGAAGCATTCAGCCCATTTACATTCAGTGTTATTATTGAAGTATGTGCTTTAGAGTCATTGTGTCCTTTGTGGGATTCATGCTTGTGGTAGGGTCTCTGGTATCTTCTGTTCCTTGCAACACTTCTCTCAGAGAGTCTCCCTCAGGATTTCTTGTAGGGCTGGTTTAGTGGTGACACATCTTTCAATTTTTGTTTATTTGGAAAGACTTTTATCTCTCCTTCTATTCTGAATGAAAGGCTTGCTGGATAGTGGATTCTTGGCTGCATATTTTTTCTGTTCTTCACATTGAAGATCTCCTGGCATTCCATTCTGGCCTGCCAAGTTTCAGTAGATAGGTCTGTCACCACTCTTAGAGGTTTCCCTTTGTATGTTAAGCCGTTTTCTCCCTAGCTGCTTTCAAAATTCTCTCTTTGTCTTTATTTTTTGCCAGTTTCACTATGATATATCGTGCAGATGATCGATTTAAGTTACGTCTGAGGGGAGTTCTCTGTGCCTCTTTAATTTCAACTACTTCCCTCTCCAGGTTGTAGAAGTTCTCTGCTCTAATTTGATCCAGGACTCCTTCGGCGCCTTTCCCTCTCTCTTCCTCCTCTGGAATTCCTATGATATGGATATTGTTCCGTTTGATTGTATCGCTGAGCTCTGGAACTCTTCTTTCATGTTCCTGGATCAGTTTCTCTCTCTTTTTGTCAGTTTCTTCTTTCTTTAATATAGTGCCTTCTAAATCACTTATTCTCCTTTCTTCCTCTTCAATCCATGCATTGGACGCCTCCAATTTATTATCTATCTCATTTATCCCATTTTTTAATTCACCATAACTATTTTTAAGTTCCACATTTTTGTAGCCACAGTTTCTCTGATGTCCTCCATGGTTTTTTCAAGCCCCGCGATTAATTTTATGATTATTGTTCTAAATTCTTGTTCAGTTATGTTGCTTATATCTGTTTTGAACAGGTCTCTAGCTGTCATTTCTTCCTGGAGTTTATTTGGAAGAGAGTTCTTCCGTTTCGTCATTTTGGTTAGGTATCTATCTCTTGTTAATTTTAAAAGCTTGTTGTACACACGGCCCCTGCGAGTTCTGCTATGTTAGAGAGAGCTCTTTTGACTGTTCATGGCCTGTCTGTTCAGGAAATGTTCTTTGGATGGTGTCTCTTCGCTTCCCTTGTTGAGGGTTTGGTTATTTTGTTTCCCTACTGGTAGTGGTATTTGGCACTCTCCACCATGTGTAGTTTGTTTCTTTTCTTTTTTTCTTTTCTTTTCTTTTCTTTTCTTTTCTTTTCTTTTCTTTTCTTTTCTTTCCTTCCCTTCCTTCCCTTCCTTCCTTTCCTTTCTTTCCTTCCTTCCTTTCCTTCCTTCCTTTCCTTCCTTTCCTTCCTTCCTTTCCTTCCCTTCCTTCCTTTCCTTTCTTTCCTTCCTTCCTTTCCTTTCCTTCCCTCCCTTCCTTCCCTCCCTTCCTTCTTTCCTTCCTTTCCTTCCTTTCCTTCCCTCCCTTCCTTCCCTCCCTTCCCTCCCTTCCTTCCTTCCCTCCCTTCCTTCCTTTCCCTCCCTTCCTTCCTTTCCTTCCCTCCCTTCCTTCCTTTCCTTCCTTCCTTCCCTTCTTTCCTTCTTTCCTTTCTTTCCTTCCTTCCTTTCCTTCCTTCCTTTCCTTCCTTTCTCTTTCTCTCTTCCTTTCTCTCTCTTTCTTTTACAAATAGTTTATTGTCAATTTGGCTTACATATAACACCCAATGCTCATCCCCACAAGTGCCCTCCTCCATGCCCATCCCCCCTCCTCCCCCACATCCATCAGTCCTCAGTTTGTTCTCAGCACTCAAGAGTCTCTCATGGTTTGCCTCTCTCCCTTTCCCCCACTAATTCCCCCTTTCTTCTCCCCCATGATCGTCAGTTATGTGCCTCCTAATCCTCCTATATGTGCAAACATATGATATTTGTCCTTCTCTGCCTGACTTATTTCGCTCAGCACAACATCCTCAAGGTCCATCCATGTTGCTACACCTGGCCAGATTTCATTCTTTCTCATTATAGTTTGGGTTATTTCTTGAGGCAGTCTCACATATGAGATTTCCTTCCCAGTGTACTCTCTTTCTCTTCCCAAACTCCTGCGGCTCACTGTCCTATGACTTCAGGCCTTCTGTGTTCGAGAGATGGGTGCAGGCAAAATGTTTGGAGGTTCTTACTTCTCTGCCATCTTCCCCAGAAGTCTCCCTCTTGTTGTTTCTAATATGTATTTATTTTGAGAGAGGAGAGAACTCCAACCAGGCCCTGTATGGTCAACCCAGAGCCCCAGAAGAGACTGGATCTCACAAACCATGAGAGCATGACCAGAGCCGAAATCAAGAGTCTTATGCTTCACGTACTGAGCCACCCAGGTGCTCCATCAGGGCAAGGACAGTTTAGTGTGTTTCACATTGCAGAATTTGGGTTCCCAGTTCTCCAGTTTAGGTTTCCACACACATTCGTTGCCAAATGATTGTTTGAAGGGTGCCCTAGCTGAGGGGAATTTGAGGGAGACACAACTGCTGGCCTATAAAACAGATCAATCCAGAAATACTGAACTCAGACTCTGCACCTTACAAGACTGCCAAAGAAGGAGTGCCAATCATCTTTGGGTGACCCTGTGGAGAAACAGGCAATCTTGGTATTGGGGGTGAACTCATTTTAATACCTGTGGAAGGCAATTTAGTACTATCTAGCAGAATACTGTGTGCTTTTTCTTCTCTTCACCAGCAATTTCCACCTCAAATTTTGCCTACAGCATACTTGCAAACTTGCAAAGCAATGACCAAGTATTCACCACACCTATGTAAAACCCGAAGATTGGGAATAACCCAAAATCCTTTGGTAGAAAACCAATTAAATGGAATAATGCCCAAATATAAGGAAGAAGGAAAATAATCTACATTTATAATTGTGTATATATATAGAAAAACCACTCTGGGAGAGTATCTAAGAAAGCTTTTTATTTTGGGAGAGTAGGAATAGGTAGATACATGGATAATTATATGGATAATAATTTTATAATCATGATAGGAGGAAGACTTTTCTATCATTTTAAGATTCTAATTCATAGGAGTGTGGTATCTATTAAAAATTTGAAAGTAAGTATGGAAGTGTTACCTAAGAAAATACTGTTTATTCCAATACAGCAATAACCAGCAATAATCAGTATTCTCCCCTCAGTCCATAGTCCTCATTATATTCCAGTTGTTGACACGTTTTCATAAATCTCCTGCCCAATATTGTTGCGTTTAAAAAGTGCCCAAAGCCACAGAGAACCACCATGAGGAGACCAAGATCCACTAGCAATTTCTTCCCTAGAAACTGAGATGCCTCTTGCCCACAGCCTACCTCATCCCAAATGAGCCCCTCCTCAGTCTATGGAGGCTTGGGCCCCAGTATTGTCTCTTGTCCTGGCAACCAGTGATTCTGCCATGGTCGCCTGCAAGGAACGAATGTGCAAGGCAGACCGCCCTTTGTAAGTAATGAAGCCCTCTTACCACATGTTGCTGCACAAACTTCCCCTCCTGACAGTCAAAATACGAGGAAATTTACCTCTTTCTAGTTCTTTCAAATCAGAGGCACAGCTGTTTCATAAATCATTTCTTGGGGATGTGGAGAAGAGAATTATTTTTCTTCCAAAATCGTGGGGAGGAGCTCCTTTCTGACCCGAGTACTGGTATAATTCTCAAGGCAGTAAGGGAGGGTGTCAAAATGCCAATGAGGTACATGCCTGGTTTCTTGCTCTACTCCTAAATGAACTTCAACAGTGTCCCAAAATATACCTTACTTTTCCTAGTTTTCCTAGCTACCCAAAAGTTTTATGGTGTGTTGAAGACCCTAGATAGGTAGATAGGTAGGTAGGTAGGTAGGTAGGTAGATAGATAGATAGATAGACCGACAGACAGATTTCTTCATGATGGAGTTCAGGTAGGTTTCACCATTTTGGAAATTCATAACAATTCTTTGGTATCTACACATTGCCATATAATTATCTATTGTGGCCCTATATTTTTATTTCAGAGATTTCACTTAATGCTGTCTACCTTCACTTCTTCATTTCTGATTTTAGTTAGTCTTCTCTATCATTCCGACTTGACATTATATAGGTCTGATAATTTTGGGCGACTGCTCTGAACATCAACTTTTCCCATTATTGAGTTTTCTATGTTTGCTATAGCCTCTATTCTCCATTTCTATTTTAGCTTTAAATTTCCTTTTTTTCTGCTAATTTTGAGCCCCAAGGGTCCTTTTCCTGATTTTCCAAGATATAAGAAAGTGATTTGTACTACAGCAAGATATGTTACGGAACTGTCTATTAAGCTATGTGGTTAGTTCCTATGTACAAGTTTGTGTGTCCATGGAAGACTGAAGTCCTGGTGATTTCTTCTCAGCTATCTCTCTGATGTTCGCTAATTGATTTTAAGGTTATTTATGAGAAGTAGTCAGTACATTCATCTGATAGTAGTACCTAGAATGATTTTACTTTCTATTATTTGATCTCTTTCAGCTATATTTTCACATGGCACCCAGACATTCCTGCCAAAGCCATGCCTAGAAGCTTCTTTCCAAAACTTGCCAATGAGTAGCTATAAACATAGTTCCCTTGAGAATGGACATCTAATGACAGACTGCAACAAGAATGGGGAGAATGAAAGCCATCAAAGACATCTGGGGACTCCTTTTCCAGAGAACGATTATGAATGTAATAAATATGAGGAAGTCTTTTATCAAAGCACCAAATTTATTACACACAAGAATATCCCTACAGGAGAGAAGCCTTACAAATATAATGAATGTGGGAAAATTCTTAACCAGTCCTCCAATGTTGGTGATGATCAGAGGATTCATGAGGGAGAAAACCATGACAGAGGTAATAAACCAGGGAACATGTTTAGTAATTCATTAAAGCTAAATGCACATAAGACCGTTGGTACTGGAGTGGAAAGGTATATAGGTAACGAATGTGTCAAAGCCCTTGACCTCCAGCAAATGCATACTGGACAGAAACCTTACAAATGTGAAGACTATGTCAAAACCCTTAAATTGTGCTCAGCTATTACTCAACATGAGGTAACTCATACTGGAGAGAGACCTTACCAATGTAAAGAATGTGGCAAGGCCTTTAATCGATCCTCAACCCTTAATGAGCATCGCAAAACCCACAGTGGAGAGAAACCTTACCAATGTAAAGAATGTGGCAAGGCCTTTCAAAGGTATTCCTACCTTACAAAACATCGCAAAATTCATACTGCAGAGAAACCTCACCAATGTAAAGAATGTGGCAAGACTTTTAACCAATCCTCATACCTTACTAAACATCACAGAATCCATACTGGAGAGAAACCTTACCAATGTAAAGAATGTGGCAAGGCCTTTCGAAGGTACTCAAACCTTACACAACATCGCAAAATTCATACTAGAGACAAACCTTACCAATGTAAAAAATGTGGCAAGGCCTATGTCAAATCCTCAGACCTTACTAAACATCATAGAATTCATACTGGTGAGAGACCTTACCAATGTCAAGAATGTGGCAAGGCCTATGTCCAATCCTCAGACCTTGCTAAACATCATAGAATTCATACTGAAGAGAGACCTTATGAATGTAAAGAATGTGGCAAGGCCTTTCAAAGATACTCATACCTTAGAAAACATCGCAAAATTCATACTGGAGAGAGACCTTACCAATGTCAAGAATGTGGCAAGGCCTATGTCACATCCTCAGACCTTACTAAACATCACAGAATTCATACTGGAGAGAGACCTTACCAATGTAAAGAATGTGGCAAGGCCTATATCACATCCTCAAACCTTACTAAACATCACAGAATTCATACTGGAGAGAGACCTTACGAATGTAAAGAATGTGGCAAGGCCTTTCAAAGGTACTCATGCCTTACACAACATCGCAAACTTCATACTGGAGAGAGACCTTACCAATGTAAAGAATGTGGCAAGGCCTTTAATCGATCCTCAACCCTTAATGAGCATCGCAAAACCCACAGTGGAGAGAAACCTTACCAATGTAAAGACTGTGGCAAGGCCTTTCAAAGGTACTCATGCCTTACACAACATCGCAAACTTCATACTGGAGAGAGACCTTACCAATGTAAAGAATGTGGGAAGGCCTTTACCCACTACTCAAACCTTACTGCACATCACAAAATCCATACTGGAGAGAAACCTTACCAATGTAAAGAATTCGGCAAGTCCTTTCAAGGCCACTCACACCTTACATGACATTGCAGAATTCATACTGCAGACAAATCTTGCCAATGTAATGAATGTGGCAAGGCCTTTAACCAGCATGCATCCCTGACTCAACATCACAGGATTCACACTGGAGAGAAACCTCACCAATGTAAAGAATGTGGCAAGGCCTTTACCCACCGCTCAAACCTTACTAAACATCACAGAATCCATACTGGAGAGAAACCTTACCAATGTAAAGAATGTGGCAAGGCCTTTAGGCACCTCTCAACCCTGACTGAACATCACAGAACTCATGCTGGAGATGAACCTTACCAATACAAAGAATGTGAGACAAGCTTTCATCACTGTTCAACCTTTCCTTA